TTAATTAAAAAAAAAAACAAAAAAAAAAACAATGATTGTAAACGGAAAAGTGAACAAATACAATAAGGTGGTATTTCTTATTCAGTTATTATTCTGTTTTCATTAGAGCATCTTTAGTAAAAAAAAACTATAACTCTTACATTTTTCAATATGCCACCTCATCAAAAACCTCATTCTTACTCCTACACTCATAAACTTCCAATAACAATAAACCTCGTAAACTTCATTTTTCATAGGTCCCACATGTTTCTCACTTACTTTTAATTAATATTATACTCATATATTTTTATTTATATTTTAAGACTATAACTCTTACTTTATTTATTAAATATAAATATTTCATATTTATCAAAATACGTATAAAAATATATAATTACATAATTTGACATAATTTTATTTATTACTCAAATAATAAAAATATATTTTATTTATTTTTATTTAACATAATTTGCTATATATGAATATGTAATATTATATAAATATTTATTACCCAAATAGTAATTAAATAAATTATGTATAACAACACGAGATGCTTCATAAGTTCAAACAAAAGGATACAAATTACATAATACAATGAAAAAAAGTAACAGGTTTTAAAAGGTGAATATATACGCTACACCATATATGGTCTAGAGTGTAAATTTGCACTAAATCATATATTTTTAAAAGTAACAGTTTTGATTCAATCGGTACATAGGTGTATATGTATTTTCTTCACTTTTGAAATGAAGATGTAGTTAAAATACAAATGTAGGATACGAAAAATTTTTATTCATATGGTATCATTTTAATATTAAAAATTGTAAAATAAAATTATAATACATCAATAAATAAAAAACACAAAATATTTAAATTGTTCGAAAATAGCTCGTTTTAAATTGTTATTTTTTACTAGCAAAGTTTGTTACTTCTTTCTTTCTTTACTAGCAAAGTTTGTTACTTTCTTTCTTTCATACTATTCATAAATAACAGTTCTTATATATGCTCTACACCATATATGGTTTATAGTGTACATTTGCACTAAATCATATATATAATTATATATGATTATATATATGGTCTATATATAATTATATTGCATTATATATATTGTTAAATACAAATATATAGTTTTACATATACAAATTACGAAACATATAATTTTGAGTATATATTTTATTCTAAATATTAACCTTGAGAAGTCTAAGTAAAATAATTACATCATAGAATATTTTTTGGGTGTTGTCAAGGAAAAAAAAAATAGTTGGGAGAAAAATTTATTACCTAATTGCAATTTAAATAAACTTTTTGTTACTACATTAAAATTCATTAAAAAAATAAAAATAAAATAAAATTACATCATAAAAGTGGCATTCGCTGCCATGTAGAATAGAAAACATTAAAAAATAAAAAAAATGGCCCACACAAGAAGTTTACAAGAGGTTTTGATTTGCAAACTTCACGTGCAAGCATAAACCTCAAATCCCTCCAATTTAGTAGTAAAAGTTGGGGAGGGAGTTTATAAACGGGGAAAACCTCCCACTAAAGATGCTCTTATGGTTTTTTTTTTTTTTTTTCCAAAACGATAATATATATAACTCAAGAAAGATGTTCATACACGGGATCACCCAGGATCACAATCCATAAATGGATTAGAGGCAAAGCTACACAAATGAGCTCCCTAGAAAGCAAACTATAAATAAGAAAGCAATAGCCGCAAACAGATGCGGGAGCTATCACCAACCACACACTAGAGACTGAATAATAATAACTAGCCACTGCCAAAGCCTAGCTAGAAGAATAAGAACAAACTAACTAGAAGGAGAATTAAACAAGAGAGACGCAGAATCAAATTCAAGCCATTCTTTAGAAGCCATATCCACAATGATATGCTCCGGGGTCATGATTTGCTGAAAGATCCACAGATTTCTGGTTTTCCACAGCTGCCAAAGGATATAGGTTGAGAGTTGAACTCTATCATTTACAGCTTTGTCCTTTTTGATTAAGCAGATAGTGGTCCACCAAAGGTTGAAATTATCCTCAGAGGAAGGAAGGTTAACCCACTGAACAGGTGATAGTTTCCAGACCTTAGCAGCTCTTGGGCATTGAAAGAGCACATGAGTGATTGTTTCAGGCCCCTCCCCAGAGATCATGCAGGTTGTGTCAAGGGATAGACCTTTTTTGCTCAGGTTTACTGCAACAGGGAGAGTACCAGTATAACACTTCCATATGAAGTGTTTCACTTTGCCCTTAATCTTAAGTTTCCAGCTTCTTGTTCTCATCCTTCTGAGGTCAGCAGCCATTGAGCTATTTTGAGGCAGGTCCATTTTGAGAATTTTGTCCGATATTAGCTGGCCATAGGTGGCTGCAACAGAGAATTTAAGCTTAGCATCAAATTCCAGGCTGGTTTGTCAGAGAGATGGGGGTTCAATGTTTTGATCATGAGGATGGCAGCACTGTCAGAAGTTGAGAAGCAACTGTTGATCAGATCTGTATTCCAGGTGTAGCCATCCTCTGCAATAAGCTCATGCACCCATGTTAGCTCTGAAGAGAGTGATGTTCTAGTCAAAAGCTTCTGGCCAGTGAGACTGGGAACCCAAGGATGTTCAAAAATCTTAGTAAGTTTACCATCATTGACCTGCATGAAGAAGCCTCTCAGAAATGTTGTTTTCAGCTTGAGCCAGTTCCTCCAGAGCCAGGAGGAATTATGATTAGGTTTGGCTCCAAAGAAGTCTCCAGATGGAAAATATTTGCTCCTCAGGACTTTACTCATTAAAAGGTCAGGCTTGGTGAGCAGTCTCCATATTTGCTTTAAGATGAGAGCCTGATTGAAGACATGAAGGTCATGAAAGTTGAGTCCTCCTTCAGCTTTAGGCAGAGTTAGTAAGGACCAAGACTTCCAGTGAATGCCAGCTTTGGCCTGGTTCTGAGAGGACCACCAAAAACGAGCAGAGAGTTTGGCAAGATCTTTGCATAATCCCAGAGGTAATAGAAAGCAGGACATTGAGAAGGTTGGTAGAGCACTTAGGACAGACTTTACAAGCACTTATTTACCCGCTCCTGATAGAAACCTGTTCTTCCAACTCAATAGTCTGCTCTTGACTTTATCAGTAACATATTTGAAAGCTTCACTTTTTGATTTTCCTATGCCAAGTGGTAACCCCATGTATCTGGATGAGGTGTGTAGAGTTATACCTTGAAAGGTTTGGCAGATGTTTCTCTGGGCAGTAGGAGAGGTATTCTTGCTAAAAAACACAGTGGACTTCCTCCAATTGACTTGTTGTCCTGTGAAGCATTTGTAATCCTCAAGGATGGCCAAAATAAGGTTAGCAGATTCCATGGATGCTTTGCAGAAAAGGAGGGAATCATCAGCAAAGAACAAGTGACTGAGAGTGGGCCCTTGTCTAGATAGCTTCAGCCCTCTGATAGAACCATGACTGATACTGTGTTGGATTGAACATGAGAGGCATTCTGAAACTAAGAGGAAAAGGTAGGGGGATATGGGATCCCCTTGCCTTATTCCTCTAGTTGGTGTGACAAAACCAGTAGGCTGCCCATTGAGTTTGAAAGAGAAGGAGGCAGTTTGAACACAAGCCATCACCCATTTTATAAAAATCATGTTAAAGCCCATTCTTTCCATAATTTTTTTGATGCATGCCCATTCAACTCTTATGGTTGTACAAACTGATATTCAGATTTAAAATTTGTATATTCGGTTTACAATTTTAAAATCTCATTATTTTTTTATTTATTTATATGTATTGTATACTAATGATTAAATATGTAACACTATTGAAAATTATATAAAGTGTGGATAATGATTGAAAGCATGATAGTCTCGTAATTCGCGTTATAATTGAATTGTTGGCCCCACAATTATATGGGAAAAAGAGAAAATTTGCAGCAGTAAAATATACATGACCCCGTGATGTAGCACAAGTGGCTCGTGGGAACGTGCAAGCAAAAGGGTCGAGCTGAGAGTAAGCTTGGCAGGTTCCTGAGGAGAGAGAGAGCTAGTCATCGTGATTTTCTGACAATATATATTTTAAATATTTTTATTTTTCTTTCTAAATATATATTACCTCCCTAAGGGATCCACATTGGTTTAACATTTTTCCCATTCATTCAATCAAAAAGTTACACTCTCTCTCATCCAAATCATTTTTTCATTAAATCTCTCTCCATTTAAACACACACCCACATTCATACTCATTCATTTAAATACATATGTGGGACCCATTATCCACTCATTCAATATAATTTTTTATATTCTATCTACAATAAAAATAAATTTTAATACTTTTAAATTATAACAATAAATTTTAAATACATGAAAATAAAAAAACACTACAAGACCAATAACACAAATTAAGATTACACAAGAAAAATATAATACAATTACAAAAAAATAACTTTTTTAGTTGGCAAAACGAGTCTAAATATGCTCAACTAAATCGGCACGAAGTTGACGATGCAAGAGAATTATACAACCGTAATGTATTTATATTATATATATAAAAATAATGAGATGATGACAAATGTTAATAATTGATACATATTGGGAAATATGATTTAGATAATAATTGAATTAAATATAAAAAGAAAAAAGAAAAAAGATAAGTTAATAATTTTGATAAATAAAAAAAATACAATTAAATTAGTATTTAAAAGTTAAAACAACAAAAAGCAAAAAAAAAAAAAAAAAA